TAAACCAGGTGTGGTGGTACACTTATAATCCCAGTGCTTGGGAGGAAGGCAGTAGGCTCAGAAGTTCAAGGTCATCCTTGGCTACATATTAAGTTCAGGCCAGCCTGGGCTACATATGGCCTTATCTCAAACAAAACAAAACACCAAAAAAAACCAAACCAACCAACCAGCAACAACAAAAAGAATGTCCTTTAATCTGGCCTGAGGTCCTTGTTTTCTAGAGTGCCTCCCCACCCTGCCAGGAAGGCACCTGTTCTTAGCCATGGGGCTAGCTCACCTGTCTCGTGGCTCTGCTTTTGAGGACAGGATGGAACGTGGGTCTTGTCGCCCACTGCCTCAGGTTTTCTGACATTAGCCGGCCTAGAGCTGGTTTTGAAGAGATTTTCTTTTTTTTTTTTTCCCCAAATGTGCTCTCAGTTTGGTGGGCAGTCAATGTCTCTTCAGCTCTTTCAACCCAGTCATTAGGTAGCTTTCTTCTCACAACATCTCCTTTGTACACACGCACAGTTAGCTGTGTACTGATCAAAAGTGGGTCAGAGTGGCAATGCAACTCAGCGTCTTCTCACACTGTGCCCTGCCCTCTGTCCAGCACCACCCCGGCAGGCACACACAGTCTCAGATGATCAGCCGGGGAGCCCCAAGTAGGCGACTGCATTGTTAAGAATGCCGTGTGTCATTTGTTGCTAGCGTTCCATTCCTCCTTAGAACAGACACACCAAAGGCTTGCCGAAGGCTGCATGGGACAGCGGCGTGGAGATGAGGACGCCTGTGGCTTCGTCTCTTTTTCTTTCCTTTATGTGTATGCGTGTCTTGCCTGTATGTATATGTGCATACCAGGTGCTTGTGTGGTGCCCACTAAGGCCGGAAAAGAGCACCAGATCACCTGGAACTGGAGTCCCAGAGGATTTTTGAGCTGCCATGTGGGTGCTCAGACCAAACCCAGGTTCTCCTCAGGAGCAGCAAGTGTTCTTAACCTCTGTGCCATCTCTTCATAAATCTGAAACTCATTGATGAAAGAGGTTGGGGGTGGTGACAAAACCAAAGCCTGATGCTGCAGGAACTGAGGAGATAGTTCAAAGCTTGTCGTGCTGGCTTGAGGCCCTGAGTTTAATTCCGAGAATGAGAACTCTGGCCTGGTGGCATGTGCATGTAATCCCCATGCTGAGGGACAGAGGCAGATGGAGCCCCCAGGCTCCCTGCCAGCCGGCTTGGCTTCCGTGGTGATCTACAGGCCGGCGAGAGACACTGTTTCAACAAGATGGATGGTGCCTGAGGAATAAGGAGGCTGTCCTCTGGGCTCTACACTGAGCATGCGTGTGCACCAATGCAAAACACATGCACACACCTGACCTTGTGAAGTCTCCATCAAACATTTGTCATGGCTGTCACTCTCAGCAAGGTTTTTAGTCAGGACCTGTGTCATTGTGAGGATAAAAAAGAGAAAGTTTCATATCTGATTAGGCGAGACGTCAGATACTGGAGTTCTTGAGCCAGGTCTGGCGAGGCTCACCTATACACAGTCCTGGTCTTCAGGAGGCTGAGGCCGGAGCAGTAGGTTCCAGCACATCCTGGACTACATAGTTTGAAGCCAGCTTGGATTCACAGTGAGACCCTGCCTCAAGCAGCTAGAGAGAGAGGAGAATATGGTATGTGCAGCAGTGATCATTGCGTCAAGTTTGTGTGTCATTTGGTTTATTAAATGTTAGGCTAAGTCCCGAAGCCCTGCTTTCTTTGGCACCTTTTTGAGATAAAGTTTGCTCCTTAGTTTGTCTAGTGACCATTCTTGTGGTGATTGAGGAGGAGGAAGCTGCCCAGGATGAGGGAAATGGCACAGATGTTGCTTAGCAACAGTGAAACCAGGAAAACTCGAAAGGGTTAAAATTTTGTAAATTGGACTGTGTGTATGTGTATGTGTGTCCATGTACTGTGTGTGCGTGTGCGACTGTGTGCACACATGTCTGTGTCTCTTTGTCTTTGTGTGCCAATTCCAGAAGCTGTCCTGTCTTCTAGAACCCACATTTGAGCCTTGCTTATACGCTTAGCTGTCTGACAGACGGTTCAGCTTCTTGTCTGACTTTGAATACCGATGACCTTTTTTCCCCCTCCACATCACTCCTGCGGGTGTCTGTTGGCTGTTTTGTTGGCTTCGTTGCTTCTTTTGTCTCTGTTGGTCAGAGCTCTTGCTCAGGTCACTGACTCCTTGGGACACCTTGCACATCCAGTCAGCAGGAAAACGTGCTGGTGATTCCTTCTAGATAGACTCAGCCGGAGCTCCAGTCACACTAGCCACGTTCCCAGTCCCTCAGCTGGCACCAGCTTGCTCCATGTCGCCAGCAAGCCTTCATTTTTCTTTCTTTATTTGTGTGTGTGTGTGTGTGTGTATGCGAGGGAGGGTGTGTTGCAATAAAGTCTCAGGTAGCCCAAGCTAGCCTCCATTCAGCATGTAGCTGAGGATACCCTTAAACCTGCGTTCCTTCTGCCTCCTCCTCTCAAAAGCTAATGTTACAGGTGTGCACTCATTGCCTGCCAGGCAGGAACTTGGCCAACTGAGCCACGACTCCAGCCCCTAATTTAATTCTTGTTCTCGTTCTCTGCTCATCATGTTAACTGTTAGGGGAAGAATGGCTGGCACCCTGTCCAAGGGGAGACCAAACTGGCTTCGGAGTAAAGTCAGAACTTGAGCCCAGTGCCTCTGCCCACCCGCGCCCCACCCGCGCCCCAAGGGGCCAACACACCTTTGGCTCACGTTTATTTAGAGTTGAGGCTGGCTTGGCAGTCCAGGGTAAACCCACCCCTCTCCTCTGCAGCCCACCGTGAATTCAGAGCTAACCAGGGCTGTCAGGCAGAGTGCTGGGTTGTCTTGGCAACACAGACTGAGTTTAAGGATCAAGTTTTATTTAAAACTTGGATTTGAGTTAAATCTTAGATTTCGATAATGAAAGAGAAAAAAAAAACTCACTCAGAAACACTGATGGGAAATGCACATGCTGAGTGTCAGGCACACAAAGATGTCGCCTGTCATTTTTAGGTTTTTAACCTGCTTCGAGGTGGTTAGATGGGGGTGGGGACGGTGCATACTTCCATGTTTGCATTTCCAAGTACATTTTATGCTCTTTGTTATTGTTGGGGTGATGGTGCCATTACTCACTAATTGTGTGTGCTCGAGCGTGTGTTTGTGTTTGTGTGTGTGTGTGTGTGTGAGAAGCTGAGGTGGTGACTGTGTTTGTTTGTTGGAAGGAGGCTGAAAGGATTTGGGGAGCATGTGTGTGGTTGTGGGTGTGTGGTGTGGTAGTGTGTGGTCCCAGGTTCAGGGTCTTGGAACAGATGTGGCCTTTCGGTGTGCGGACAGGGGTGGGGAGGGGGCCAGGGCAGCATCAGCTGTGGTGGCGCAGGTCAGTAGGATTTGCTGAAGGAGGTGGAGGCAGGAGGATCATGAGTTGGAGACTAGCCCGGGCTACACGTTTTGTTTCTTGTCCCCCTCTGCTGTTTTTCAGACTCGCCTGCCTGTGCTCTTTTTCCTCTGCCGCTTTTTCCCGCCCGCTGCCGTCTCCCACACCGTTCACCCTGCCCAGCAGCACCTGCCCGCTCACACCCCGTGCATGCTTACTCCCACCAACTCTCCACAACTTGGATGAGCACTCACAGGCGGTTTGGCCTTCCTCAGACCCCGCCCACCATGGTTTTCGCTTGTTTGTTCTGAGACAGGGTCTCTCAGTGGCCTGGAATTTACCAAGTAGGCTGCCTGGCACTGAGTCCTAGGTACTCTCCTGTCTCGTCTCCCTCATGCTACTATGGGTAGGGGCCACTACCCATACCCGGTTTGTAGTTGATTTTTGAGACAGGTTCCCACTCCATAGCTCTGCTCTCCTGAAATGTGCTATGTTGACCAGGCTGGCCTTGAGTCCCCAGCGCTCCACCTGCCTCTGCCTCCTGAGTGCTGTGGTTAAAGGGCTAGGCCAATTCAACTTTTTTTTTTTCTTTAAACAAAACAAAACAATCAACAGCAACAGCAATAAAAACCAACAGCCTAGGGCTCCTGGGCTCCTGGTTGCTTAGCAAGCATTTTGTTGACTGAGCCATTTCCCATCTCATCATAAGTAGTTGATTGTGATGTTCAGTCAGCTAACATCAAGGCGTAGCTAATTCTTAGTGAGTGGGGATCATAGGAAAAATTATTTTTTGAGACTGGGTCTTACTATGTAGACTAGGCTGGCTTTGAATTCGGAGATCTTCGTGCTGCTGCCTCCTGTGTGTCATGGAAAATCTTTACATATGTTTTTCAATTTAATCCTAACAAAAATTGGTGTTTGTGGGGGTGGGGAGGGTCAAAGCAGGATGCTGGTTGTCCTGCTCTATCATTGCCCCTCCCCCACTCCCCTGGGACAGGACAGGGTCTCTCGTAGTCCCCAGCAATCCTCCTGTGTCTACCCCATTTGGTGCTTAGGATTATAGAGGTCTACATGGCCATGTCCAGCTTCGTACCTGAGTGCTGAGATCTGAACTCAGGACCTTCGTGTTTGTGAGACAAGAGCTTTTGCCCGTTATGCCATCTCTGCAGTCCCCCACAGTCATGGTTTAAGTGAAGTTTGGGGGCTCGAGAGATAGATGGCTCAGTGGTTCAGAGCACTTGCTGCCCTGGCAGAGGACCTGGGATCAGTTCCCAGTGCCCACGTGGCAGCTCACCACCCATTAACTCTGCTCCAGGGGGTCTAGTGCCCTCTTCTGGTCTCCCTGAGCACTGCGTGAGTGTGACACCTATAGGCAAAATACCCAGACACATCAGCTGAGAATAATTTTTAAAAAGAATTAAGTGTGAAGGTGGGTGCGGTGGCCCACTCCTCCAATCCCAGTTCTGGGGAGGCTGAGGCAGGAGTGTCACGGAGCGTTTCAAGGCCAGCCTGGGCTGAGCTCCTGTTTTCCTTGAAAACCGAAGCATCATTAGTGGACATGGATGCAGTGCCTGTCTGTGCCTCACTCTGACTTCTTCACGGCTCTTTCAGTTGTGCCAGGGCTCAAGGCGGATCGATTTGAAGAGGGGATGGAGGTCAAGCACTGTGCACTTTCCCTCGTGGGCGAGCCGATAATGTACCCAGAGATCAACCGGCTCTTGAAGCTGCTCCACCAGCGAGGGATCTCCAGCTTCCTCGTCACCAACGCTCAGTTCCCTGAGGAAATCAGGTGAGTGATCCACTTCCTCGTAGGCAGGGAACACTGGAACGTAGACCTGACTCCTGGTCCAGAACTCACTGCTTAGCTGAGCCTGGCCGCCATGTAGGTCCTGGGGCTAGAGCTCAGGTCGTCAAGTGCCTTTATCTGTTGAGCCACCTGACTGGCCTTGTATGATCATACTTTACTCACAATTTTTTAAATAATTTATTTAATTTTATTATATGTGCATTAGTGTGAAGGTGTCAGATCCCATGGAAACAGCAGTACAGACAGTTGTGAGCTGCCATGTGGGTGCTGGGAATTGAACCCAGGTCCTTTGGAAGAGCATATCCAGTGCTCTTAACCACTGAGCCATCTCTCCAGCCCCTTTATTCACAAATTTAAAATGAGAATGTGTTTTCACAGGGTTTACACAGCCTTCAGACATTTTGACATTGAGAGTTGGAATTAAGCATGTATTCCCAAATATTGTCCTTTTTCATCATTCTAAGTAGTGATAAGGAATTCTCAGACAGGAATTCTGATATAGCATTTTTAAAAATATATTTATTTTTATTTTATGTGTATGCGTACCTGCTTGTTTGTATGTGCACCATATGTGTTCAGGCATCCTTAGAGGCCAGAAGGTGGTATTGGATCCCTTAAAGCTGTCTTTATGGCCAGTTGTAAACCATTTGGTATGGGTGTTGGGAATCAAATCCAGGTCCTCTGCAAGAGCAGCAAGTACTCTCAATTGCTGAGCCATCTCTGTATAGCCTTCTTTATTAACAATTGCCATGTTGTATCAAGGGGACAGGCTAGGAGCCTTATGACCTGTCTTGTTACAGAGGCCAGGGCTAGGCAGAAATACGATCCCCAGGTCCTAGGAGATGTCTGCAGGGTTTCTCTGCTGTTGCCTGTTCCTGTAGAGTGAGCTCTGTTATTTCTGGAGACCTTCCTTCTTATTTGTCCGCCTCTGGGGTGAGAGTTGAAGACTTCCTTATATCTGTGTTTCAGATGCTTAACATAGCGTCACTGGCCAGGACTTCTGATTTCTGAGTGCAGCGGATGTTTGTACAGTGTGTCTGGCCTTTGGGAATTGCTGTCCATTATCCTAGGTGGTTATACACACACAGGAAAAAGGTCAGGCCAGTTCCGGCTGTAGTTGGGAAGGATCATCACCAAGCATTGGCCATGTGAGGCAATGAGAGATGCAGTAGCTGTCAGGCCATCTTCTTCGCCTTCTTTGGATTTTGAAGTAGGGTCTCACCTTGAAGCCCAGAGCTCTCAAGTGCTAGGATTATAGAGATTTTAAACATTTAAATTGTGTGTTTGTGTTGATTTGCATGTGTGTGCCATATTATGCATATGGAGATCAGAGGACAACTCTTGAGAGTCAGTTCTCTTCTCCCATGTGGGTCTCAGGGACCAGACCCAGGTCCTCAGGCTTGGTAGGTAGCAAGTAGGTCATCTTAGAGCCCCCCTTGTGTCGCTTAAGACTCCCAGTAGAAGTTGGATGTGATGGTAAATATCTGTAATCCCAGCACTCGGAAGACTGAGGCAGGAGGATGGTGAGTTTGGGGCCGTTTTCACCTAGCAAGCGCTAGATGAACCTGGGCAACATGGTGAGAATCTGAGAAAAACGAAAAGAAAAGAGGAAGCAACACACACACACACACACACACACACACACACACACACACACACCCTCTTCAGCCAGTCATCGTTTCCTCAGGGGTCGTGGGCTTCAGCTGTGTGTGCTGGCTGCTGTCTCCTGTTGTTTGAAGTTTCCCCCATCCTCCAGTGACTGAAGATGCAGGTGTCCCACTGACCCCGACAGCACAGTTGCAGGGTCCGTCTGCATCAGTCTCCCTAGCCAAGCTCATGAGGACTGTGCAGGCATTTAAATAATACTGAGATCTCCCTTTGGGCCCCGTTGTGAAGTCATCGTGGCCTGGACTGCGCAGTCGTGGGGTGCTCTCCTAACGCTACGTGCCCTTGGCTTCCACCCCCAGCTCTACCAAAGAGAAAACAAGACAGGTGCTTTAGGCACGTGGGCAAAGTGGACGCTTGTTGACCATCTCTTACAGACCACAAATTTTATATCGTGGTCTAGTGTAGGCATTATTCTCTATTTTTTTCTTTTTTCATTACCAAGGAACCTCACACCAGTCACGCAGCTGTACGTGAGCGTGGACGCTAGCACCAAAGACAGCCTGAAGAAGATTGACCGGCCGCTCTTCAAGGATTTCTGGCAGCGGTTCCTAGACAGTTTAAAAGCCTTAGCTGCAAAGGTAAGAATTGTGACATCATCCTAAAAATAGGTAAATAAGGAGAAAACATGAAACTATGTTTGCTCCATTTTTCTGTAAACTATAGGAAGATTAAAACGTTTACTTTTTTAACAGTTTTTTCTTTAATGATTTTTTTAAAGATCTATGTTTCTAAGTGTTTGCCTGCATGTGTACTGTGTGTATGCCTAATACCCCAGGGGCTCAGAAGAGGGTGTTAGATCCCTCGCCCTGTGGGAATAGGAACTGGGCCAGGTCCTCTGCAGGAGCAGCTAGTGATGCTGAGCTATGTCTTCAGAGGCCAGAGGAGAGCATCAGATGTCCTAGAGCTGGGGGTCCCAGGCAGTTGTGAGCCTCCCCGTGTGGGCTGGAGAGCATATGTGCACCTTGTGCAAGAGCAGCAAGTGCCCTTACCTGCCGAGCTCTCTCCTGTCCCACATCTTCAGGGTTTTTTGTTTGTTTGTTTGTTTGTTTTTGTTTTTTGTTTTTGTTCTTTTTTGAGACAGGTTTATCTGTGTAGCCCTGGCTGTCCTAGAACTTGCTTCAAAGACCAGACTGACCTTGAACTCAGAGATTTGCCTGCCTCTGCCTCCTGAGTGCTGGGAGCAAAGGTGTGCGCCACCATCCCCTGACCACATCTTCAGTTTTTAAAATTTACTTATGGTTATTGAGTGGGGTGGGGTGGGGTGGAGAGTGATATGTGTGTATGGGCACATACCATGGTGTGAACTCAGCATTTGGGAGTTGGTCTTCTCCTTCCACTTCATTGAGGAAGGATTTCTGCTTTTGAGTAGTCCAGGCTAGCTCACCTTCAAGCTTCCCCTGTTTCTCCTGTCCCCACCCCTCAGGTTGTTGTAGGATGCCGGGATTAGAGATAGCCACCACAGCAGTCAGCATTTTCATATGGCTTCTGGGACTGAGCTCATCATGGCATTTGAGTCAAGTGGTTCTACCCGTGGTGCCATCTTGCTGGCTTTCTGCCTTATTTACTTTTTCACTTAGAACATCTTCAGAACATCTTCCTTGAGGAGCAAGGAACATTTCTCATCTGCTTGTGCCTTACCCTACCTCTCCTGAGTATGCAGACTCTGTGTTCTTTCTGGTGTCATCTGTGTGTTACTCATTTAAAAAGAGGAACATCTCTATGAGGTTCATAGTGCAGTGTGCTAGGTAGGGATATACAGCTTGCCTGTCTGGGATTCAACAAATATGTGTTTACGTATGCAGTTAATTTCCAGAAATTTCTGGACTCAAGCATGTGAACTCCTATGTGACTGAGTGTCAGAGTGTGTGCTCATAAGTAACTCAGTGTCAGAGAATTAGCTCATAAGTAACTCAGTGTCAGTGTGAGCTTAAAAGTAACTGAGTGTCAGAGTGTGAGCTCATGAGTAACTGAGTGTCAGAGTATGAGCTTAAAAGTAACTCAGTGTCAGAGTGTGGGTAATCCATAAGTAATTAGAAGTCAGAGCATCTGAATGTACTGTCTTGGGGCTGGGGAGTTAGCTCAATGGTTAAAAAGCCTGACTGCTCTTACAGAGGATGTGAGTTCAGTTCCAGCATCCATGTCAGGAGGCTCACAGCCACCTGTAACTCTAGTTCCAGGAGGAACCTGCATTCGTATGCACACACAAATACACACACACACACACACAGATATACAAATATACATATAAAGAATTAATAACAAATCTTTAAATATGTTTCAAGGCCCTGTGTGTACCTCTTTCCTTTTCTCATTGTGATGCTGGGGACTGAAGCTGAGGCCACGTACATGCTAGCCAAGTCCTCTGTCAGTGAATTTTATCTCCCAGGTGTCCCTCTCTGTGAATTGAAGGCCAGCCAGGGAAGCATAGTGAGACCCTGTCCCCCGAAAGAAACAAAGCAGAAAACAAAATCCCCAAACCCAAAAGCAAATGTCAGCTTGCTGTGTTTATGTGTGTGCACGGGTGTGCAGGTCTGAGGTCAGCCTTTGGTGTCATCCCTCAGGAGCCATCCACCTTGTTCCCAGCCAGTCTCTCACTGACCTGAGACTGAGTAGTGAGGGTGTCTGGCCAGTGAGCCTTGCCCCGCCTCTGTAACACTAGGGTTGCAAATGTGTCACAGCCAGCTTGTGTGTGTGTCTGGGGCGCAAACTTGGGTCTCCTTTCTTATACAAGCATTTTATAGACTTTAGTCATCTTTCCAACCCTGTGCCTAGTACTTAAACAAACCACTGTTTGCACATGGCTTGAGATTCCACACTTAAATAGCAGCTGGCTATGGTGGCCTGTAATGCCAGCACTTGGGGAGGCAAAAGCAGGCTTATCTCTGAATTTGAGGTCACCTTGGTCTACAAATTGAGTCCAGGACAGCCTAGGCTACACAGAGAAACCCTGTCTTGACCTTCCCATCTCTGACTATGAAAGTGTTAGAGGCTAAATATTGAAATTGGGGGCTGATAAAGAGAACTATAAAGGAGTAAAGAAAAGTGATGTAATCTTTCTTTTTTTGTTTGTTTTCTTTCATTTTTTTTTTTTTTTTCAAGAGAGGGTTTCTCTGTGTAGCTCTGGCTATCTGGAACTTGCTCTGTAGATCAGGCTGGCCTTAAACTCAGAGATCCACCTGCCTCTGCCTCCTGATTGGTGGGATTAAAGGCATGCACCACTGCCCAGCTGTAATCTTTCTTTTTAAAGATTTATTTGTGCATGTGTGTGGGTGTGGGTGTGTATCTGCATGGTCTGTATGCCACATATGTGGGGTTGGCCACAGAGATCAGAAGAGGACATCAGATCCCCTGGAGCTGGAGTTACAGGCCGTTGTGAGGTGCCTGGCATGGGTACTGGAAACAGAACTCAGGTCCTCTGCAAGTGCTTCTAACCACTGAGCCATGTTTCCAGCCCCATGATGGCTAGTCCTGGGTGTCAGCTTGGTTGGATCGAGAGACTCCCAGGAGAAGAAGGTAGAGTTAAAGTGCAGTGCTGTGCTGGCTGGGCTAGTGAGGACAGATGGAGGGACAGTGGGTCCTGAGGCCTCTGACCTATCAGAAGTATTCAGCTCTTGCTGATGGCATCGTGGTGGTGAGAAGTAGCAGGCGGGGCCTGTTGGGGGACTAGATCACAGGGTATGTGTTCTTGGGACTGTGTCTAGCCTTTTCTGTTTATGCATCCTCCTCTTGGCCCCACTCCTTCCGGGCTCTCTGCTCCCTGTCAGCTTTGAGGCCACCTTCTCCCATTCAAACCTCTGCCACTTGAGCTACTTATGAAGACCGTGTCTCCGAGAAAGCAGCCTCCTTACTGAAGTCCCCAATAGAAAATAGTCAGATTTTGTAATTTGTTATTTACCTTTGAAAATTTGTTGAAGTTTTATGATGGTTGTTTTTATAACACTGGAAAATTGATTTCAGAAATTTCTACATCTTGGTGAGCCAGATGACTATAAATAAATAGAACAGAGACTGACTTTCAGGGAACAATACTATGTTTTTTTTGGTGTGTGTGGGGGTTGGTAAACAGTTGTTTTTGTTTCCAGGCTAGTTGTATATTGAGGTCAGCCCCAAGAAGACTGGGGCTTGTAAAAGCAGTGGCAACTGTCTAAAAATGAGAAATAGTTTTCAAGATCTGTCTATCCACAAGGTAATAGAGTTTTATGTTATGCTCCTTCTTTGACTTTTGGTTCACATACCCTATAAAGAATATTAGCATCCAAATGCCTTCCAAATCCAGGCAGCTCCTCGCAGACTCTGCCTGGAGGTTGTTGGTGTTCCAGTGGAACGTGAGTTTAATATCCAAACTTGACTTTGCATACAGATCTTTCAATACCATGCTTTAAATGGATGTTTGCAAGGGCAAATTTATGTTTATGTTCTGTGAACCGTGTGCAGGAAATGAATGGCATCACAGGTACGGTTGATGGACTGCCAGAGTCAGTTGAGCCAGATTACTAGGCGTCACCAAGCTGGGGCCTTCCTGGTTGGTGCTGACAGGAGGGCTGCTCTCCTCTGCCCAGCAGCTGCTGTTCACCGTTGTTTTTGATGTTAGGCACATACAGATCTATGCAACAGTTATCTCAGGCATAGGGATCTTATCTTTAAGAAATTCTTCAGAGGATTTTAGTCAATATATAACTTATTTTAATTTTTCCAATTGATTGATTGTCAGGTCTCATGCAGTTAAGGCTGGTCTTAACCTTCCCATACACTGATGCTCACATAAGCTTGGGTTTTGGAAGCATATATTGCTATAATCATAATATGTATAGATATATATAAAACCCTCTTTTTAACCAAATTGTTTTTCTTATAATAAAATAAAATCATATCACATTAGTTTTCTGTAAAAATGGATTGCCTTCTTCTAACATTCATAGATTTTTTTCCCCCTTATGGTTTGTTTGTTTGTTTGTTTGTTTGTTTGTCTTGGTTCCCTTGATGATGGAGATTGAACTAAGGGCCTCACACATACTGAACACACTCTGCCACTGAGCTACTCAACCGGCCCCATTCCATGCCCTGGCAGAGCTGTGTGCAGCGATGAATACCCGTCCATAAAGAAATGCTAATATCCCAACTGCACAAGCTGCCACCTCACCAACAGCTAAGTAGTGAGTGCTAATATCTGGTGAGGACAGTCCTAGCCACAGTGTAACAATAAACACAGCTCCTGTTCTCTGAAAAGACAGAGGGGGAGAGAGAGTCATTTGTAGGTAGTTTACTCCCCAGCATAACTTCTTACTGGCAAGACCAAGAAAAGCAAAGCCCTGGCATTTCAGAAACTCAGCTTAATTATTTAAAAATCATTTGTGTATGTGTCTTTGTGTGAACGTATGCCACAGAGTGCAGGTGCCTGAGGAGACCAGAAGAGGGCGTCGGGTTCCCTGGAGCTGTAGTTGCAGGCCTTTGAGAGCTGCCCTATGTACATGCTGGGAACCAAACTTTAGTTCTTGGGAAAAGAAGCAAGAGCTTCTTTTGTGAAGTAGTAAAAGTAAGCATACCCCATAGATAGCCAGATTCAAACCTAAGGGGAGTG